ACAGGCTGGGTAAATGCTCTACTATTGAGCTATCTCACCAACCCTGAATTACACTGGAAAAGGGAATAGAGTGAGCTTTGTCTCAAAAGCTGGGAACCACAAAAGCAGCATTCTTATATTGTAAGGAAGCTGAGATGGCTCAGTGAGCAGAGACACCAGCTTTCAAGCCAGACAACCTGAGTTAAGAGTCCCAGAACTGGGGTTGGAGAGATGGCTCAGTGGTTAAGAGCACTTACTGTGGGCTGGAGAGATGGCTCAGTGGTTAAGAGCACTGACTGCACTTCCAGAGGTCCTGAGTTCAAATCCCAGCAACCACATGGTGGCTCACAACCATCTGTAATGAGATCTGATGCCCTCTTCTGGTGTGTCTGAAGACAGCTACAGTGTATTCATAATAAATAAATAAATAAATAAATCTTTAAAAAAAAAAGCACTTACTGTTAGGATCCAGGTTCAGTAACCTACACTGGGTTTACAACCACCTACAACTTCAGATTCAAGGTATCCTCTTCTAGACTCAGTATACTCCTGTGCACAACCTCTCTCTCTCTCTTTCTCTTTCTCTCTCTCTCTCTCTTACACACACACACACACACACACACACACACACACACACACACGATTAAACATAAAATCTTTAAAAGTCTTTTTATTAGATTTTTTTTAAAAATGTGTTTGGCCTGCTTGTTTGTATGTACACCACATGTGTGCTTGATGTCTATGGTGGTCAGAAGAGGGCATCAGATCTCCCAGAACTGGTGTTACAGCTGATTGTGAAATACATGTGGGTTACAGGAAACCAAACTCGGGTCTCCCGAAGAGCAGCAAGTGCCCTAACCACTGTGCCATCTCTTCAGCCCCTAAAATGTTGTAGATACTAAAGTTTTATTTTATTTTGAGACGGGGTCTGGCCTCACTGTATTGCCAGCCCAGCCTTGCTTTGAATATTCTATATAGCTGTACCTAGTTGAGCCGTGGCAATCCTCCTGCTTCAGCTTCTTGAGGGCTAGGATTGCAGGTGTGTACCATCAAAGCACACTTGGTTAAAGTTTAAAGAAAAACGTGTTCTCTTTTAAAACACTGTGTTGTGTATGTGTGTGGCTGCACAGAAGAAATGGTATACACAGAAAGACCACTCTGTAGAGTTGGTTCTCCTTTTACCATGTGGGTCCTGGGAATTGTTTACCTTTTAAAAATTGCAGTAAGCTGCCAGTATCTAAATGATAGCTTACAACTATCTATAACTCCAGTTCCAGGGGATCGGACACCCTCACACACATACAAGCAGGCAGAACACCAATGTACATAAAATAAAAATGAATGAATAACTAAGAATTTAAAAAATTTTATACTCAGAAAACCATTTCATTGGATGTTAATATATACTATTCTTAGAGCAGTGGTTCTCAACCTGTGGGTTGCTACCCCCTTGGGGGTCACCTATCAGATATCCTGCATCTCAGATACTTACATTACGATTCATAACAGTAGTAAAATTAGTCATGAAGTAGCCACAAAATAATTTTGTTTTGGGCTCACCACACACGAGGAACTGTATTAAGAGTCGCAGCCCTAGGAGGCTTGAGAACCACTGATTTATAGGGAAAGGAGGCATCAAAAAATTAGTAATAGTAGTTATTCAAGTTTGGCTTTATTGTTCTATGCCTTTAACAGTAATTGTTTCTTCTTCTTGAGCATCTCACTATTTTCCCAGGCTGACCCCCATCTTTGGGGTTCAAGAGGTCTTCCAGCCTCAGCCTTCAGAGCAGCAGGGACTGAATACATGTGGCAGCATGCCGTACGGTTTTTGTTTGTTTTTCACGACAGGGTTTTTCTATATAACAGAGCCCTGGCTGTCCTGGAACTCCCTCTGTAGACCAGGCTGGCCTCGAATGCATGGTCATGTGCCTGCCTCCTCTAAGTGCTGGGATTAAAGACTTGCACCATCATCACCCAGAAGATTAAAAAATTTAAAAAACCCCTATGCTTCTCTGTGTGAGTATATGCATGTGAGTACGGGTGCCCTAAGAGGCCAGAAGAGTGCCTCAGACCCCCAAACTGGAGTCACACTATTGTGAGCTGCAATGCGGGTGCTGGGAAGCAACCCTGGGTCCTCCCGAAGAGCAGCCACTGCTCTTAACATCAAGCACCTCTCCTCGCCTTTTAAAAATGTGTATTTGGGGGCTGGAGAGATGATTCGGTAGGTAAATGCTTCCTGGTTTCAGAAGACCAGAGTTTAGCTCCCAGTACACGTCTGGTAACTCACGCTGCCTGTAACTGCAGGTCCAGGGGATCTGATGTCCTTTCTTGGCCTCTGCAAACCTATGGCATATACTCTCAGAGACATATATTCACCAGACAAATAAAAATTAAAGAAAAAAGTCTTTAAAATGTTTATTTCCCTCTCCTCAGATTGAGACGGTAACTGATGTGGTAGACGTTATTGATACTGTGGACAAGCTGGGGCCTGTGCGGAAGGAAGCCTGCCTGGAGTTGTGCTTCACAGTACTTATTACCAGCATTAGCATCTTCCAAGTCAGCCTTCAAACAGGGACTCAACACCAGACACTCTCCAGGGAGCACGGAGACTGTCAGCTCTGACAGGAACTGCAGAGGCATCAGCTTTCTGGAGTGAGCACCTACTGTGTTCTCCTGCCCTCTGGCATGGATCACTGTTGGACTACTCAACCTATAGTTTAAGTCAATCCAGTAAATCCTTTTTTTTTTTTCTCCAGTAAATCCTTTTATAATCTGTTTTCTTGGCTCACTTCCTCTAGAGGACCCTGTAGATAGATCTCTCTATCTACATCCTGCTGACTTTGTCAGGAAACTATGGTTCAGTTTACTTAGGACACCTTCTTTGATGAATTTATATAGAACTCAGTAAACTACTGAGCCAGTGGTAAAATTTTGGATTTAAAATCAAAGTGCAATAATTAGACTCAGAGCATGTGCCAAGGGGTTGACCTCCATCACTTCATAATATATAAACAAATGAAAATAAAGTCCAAACAATTTCCAGGCCCATGAAATTATCCTGTAAAACACATTTAAATAAAAACAAATAAAACACTTTATTATCTATCTTTTTCTTAAATAAAACAAAACAACTCATTATTGCTCAGAGAATACTGTAGAAGAGGGGGAGAGAATATTGTAGGAGCCAGAGGGGTCATGAACACCACAAAACAGCCCAGAGAGTCAACTAACCAGGGCTCATAGGAGCTCACAGAGACAGAACCGACAATCAGGGAGCCTGTACAGGTTTGACCTAGGTCCCCTGCATATGTGTTATGATTGTGTAACTTGGGGCTCTTGTGGGACCCCTAACAGTGGGAGCAGGGGCCGTCTCTGACTCTTTTGCCTGCTTTTGGGACCCTTTTCCAGCCTTAGTATGAGGGAGGTGCCTAGTCTCATTGCAACTTGATATACCATGTTTGGTTGATATCCCTGGGAGGCCTGCCCTTTTCTGAAGGGAAACTGAGGAGAAGCAAATCTGGGGGAGGGGGGGAAGGGGAGGAACTGAAAGGGGAGGAGGGATGGGAAACAGTGGTTGGGGAGTAATATGTGAGAAAATAAATAAAGATGAGAGAAGTCAGAGAAAAAAAAAAGCTTGTTATTCATGTGTATGTCTGTGCATATAAGTACAGGTGTCCTCAGAGTCCAGAAGAAGGCCCTGGATCTCCTGGAACTGGTGTTACAGGCAGTTGTGAGCTGCCAGACATGGATACTAGGAACAAATTCTGGTCCACTGAAAGACTGGGAAGCATTTAACTGTTGAATCAGTTTAATATCTTTTATTTTTTTATGACTAATGAAAACTAAATATGACTGTAGAACTTACAATTTTAAGTCAGTAGCTGTAACTTAAATGCTACTAGATTTACTTTACAAAATAGAAAACCCTCTCCCAATTACCTATCAAACACAGAAAAGTTCTATCATTGCTCCTCCTACTTAAAAAGTTCCCCAACAGTATCTGTTGTAGTCTACGGCCTGCTAACTGACACCAGAAACAGATACCCAAACCCTAATGATGGTGACTTCCACACTCACGTTCCTACTGTTGAGGCTTCTCTGGTAAGGAAAAGTGCCCCAGCTCTCTAGGCAGCCAGGTTTCCTCAGGCCAAATACTCAATATGAATGAATTTAAGAAGTTTCCCCTAATGACACAAGAGTCCCAGGGAATAAAACACCTTCTAGGAAACTGTGCAGTGGTGATGCCAGATGTGCTTGTTCTCCTTCTGTACACCCTGGGGGTGCAGGGACCCTCCCATCCCTGAGAACCCTAGGGACATGTGTGGCACATGATGCTTTATTAGGCCTTCTGATCTCAGTTCAAAGACTGGGCATCCTGCCAGGGACACAAGGTTTGCAAGGAAGTCCAGAAGTCCCCAGGGCAGCTGCCAATCCGAGTGTCTTCCTCTCAGGTGAGAAACAGTGAGGTCGTGCAGCTGGTGAGTCAAGGGCTGACCTCCACACTCTCTGGCTTCGCAGCAGATACATCCCGACCCACTATACCTTCAGCTTGTGTTAACGTAGCCCTCAGATTCTCAGCACTCCTCTTTAATACCCTGGCCCCTACTTTGGAATGTTCTGGTTCTTTTGCTTTTCTGTATATTCTTCTAGTCGAAGAAGCCACTTAGCCCAGTACTTAGAACAGAGCTCTTCATCCATGAAGTGAGGGTGGGCAGGGGACCCATCCTTATAGGCCACCACAATTAATCCACACTGCACCTAGAGAGAAACACAGTACAGCTCCAGTATTTCCTCTTGTTCAGGGCAAATTAGCCAGTGCTAAGCATGCTACAGGAGTATCTCCAAATCCATTTCTAAGATGGGCTGGTTAAAGACTGCACCAGGACACAGGAGAGCACAAAGATGGCTGATAAACACTGAAGGATGGACCGTGCTCACTAAGCAACAAAGCAAAGCAGAAACAAAACAAACAAACAAACAGCAGCAGCAGCCCAGGAGGGGAGGAGAGTGCTCTGGAGTGAGAGAACACTAAAGAGCAGTAAGCAGTGCTTTTTTTTTTTTTTTTTTTTTTTTCCCAAGACAGGGTTTCTCTGTATAGCCTTGGCTGTCCTGGAACTCACTCTGTAGACCAGGCTGGCCTCAAACTCAGAAATCCACCTGCCTCTGCCTTCCAAGTGCTGGGATTAAAGGCATGAGCCACCACTGCCCAGCTAGCAGTGCTTTAAATAAGAATAAAACCCAAAACACCAAACCAAGCTTCTCATGCAGGAACTCAGTTTCTTACCTGAAAACTGTAGTGGGCATCGTGGTTTACAGCACCCATGTACGCCACGACTTGTAGTGGATTGTCGTATGTATTTTGAATAAAAGGTTTTGGTTTTTCTGATGTTTTCCAATCAATGACACACAACTTGCCCCTAAGGAGAATCCAGAGGAATTATTTGTAAGAAACAGTTCAAATTGAAAAATTCAGGCCAGCAAGACGGCTCAATGGGTAAAGGCGGCCAAGCCTGAAAACCCTAGCACAGTACCTGGAACTCACATGGTAGGAGAGCAAACTCCCAAGGTTGTGCTCCAATCCCTACTTGCAAACCATGGTGTGAGAACCTACACATACACACACACACACACACACACACCAATATAAATAAATATATAGATAGAATCCTGTGAAACAGAAAAACTACTAAGTTAACACTTCTCTTATGTCCTTTAATTTTGGATCCTCAATGACTTGCTTTTTTTTTTTGGTTTTTCGAGACAGGGTTTCTCTGTATAGCCCGGGCTGTCCTGGAACTCACTCTGTAGACCAGGCTGGCCTCGAACTCAGAAATCCGCCTGCCTCTGCCTCCCGAGTGCTGGGATTAAAGGCGTGCGCCACCACCGCCCGGCCAATGACTTGCTTTTACCCTCCATTTTCCAAAACAGGCTTTACTTCTTAGGATTAGAAAAGCATGACAGGTGTGGTCTTCATGCCTATAATTCTAGCAGCTATGATGTGCAGGCAGGAGAATAACCATGAGCTCAAAGCCAGTCTGGGATACAGAGTGAGTTCCTGCCTTAGGAGAAAAGCCAGGATAGATGGGACTCGGTGTAGCTTAGCAACAGAGAATCCTATTACACACAAAGCTATTCAGGAGGAGTAGGAAGCACATTTTTGGTTCAAACAATAATTCTCTTTATTTCTTATGACTTCTTTAACAGCTAACAGTAACTGAAATTACACCTCGCATGGTTTTGGTAAATATAATATCAGTTTTTGGAAGTATAATATCAGTTTGTAAAGAACTCATTATGGATTGATACATATTATAGTACTTCAACATAAAAGCTGAATTCAATCAGTAGGAAGCTGTGATATTCAGACATACAAGTAAGGACATCCTGGACCCTTGCCTCAAGGTTTCTATGTAGACAGACACTTCCTTACTCCATCCATTCTGGTATGGTACTATACCCACCCACAAACTATAGTTAGATCAGAGTGTAGGGCCAGGCTTGGTGGTGCAAGCCTTTAATCCAGACACTTGGGAGGCAGAAGCTGGTGTATCTCCATAATTTGAGGTCAGCCTGATATATAGTGAGTTCTAGGCTAGTCAAGGCTATGTGGTAAGACCCTGTCTTAAAAAAACTAAACAATAGCCAGGCAGTGGTGGCGCACACCTTTAATCCCAGCGCTTGGGAGGCAGAGGCAGGCAGATTTCTAACTTTGAGGACAGCCAGGGCTACACACACAGAGAAACCCTGTCTTGAAAAACCAAAAAACCTCAACCCCCCCAAAACCTAAACAATAAACAAACAAACAAACAAACAGAAACAAAGAGGGCAGTCCTGTCACTTGGGACAACATCGATAAATAAAAGAGTATGCCAAGTGAACTAAGTCAGGTTCAGAAATGACGTCAGTTACATGGGCATTCACAGAAGCTAAGTTCAGAAGCTGGGCAGTGGTGGCACACACCTTTAATCCCAACACTTGGGAGGCAGAGGCAGGTGGGATCTCAGCCTGGTCTATGTTGTGAGTTCTAGGACAGCCAGAACTACATAGTGACACTGTTGTCTCTAAAAACTTACTACCTAACCAGAGGTTCAAATGTCACCGATTCCACACTCTTCCCCTCACATCCTGTTATTGGTCACATGCTTTATTTGGAATGGAGTATCTGCAGATGATAGCAACTCTTGGAATCTGGAATGATTAGGAAAAACAATAACAGCAGCAACTTAGAAGCCACAGGAAGTTTTAGCTGGTTCAGAGTCCTTATCATATCAGCCACTGCCTGGAAGCCAGGAAGAGAGTGGATGTTCAGAGCCAACAGATCACTATACAATCTTTGGGAAAACAGAAAAAAAAGCAGGGGGGAGGGGGAGAAGAAAGCAAAAAGAAAACAACAGTGATTCAAGAGGAAATAGAGAAGCACATTCAGGAACAACATAGGGTCTTGGAGAGACAAGAAAATGGACAGGCTGGAGGATAAGCCACAGCCCTGGCCACATTGATTTTCATATTGGCACAGAGTAGATGGCTTTCCTTGGTATGTCTCTCCTACCTCCTGCCCTGTTCTCTTTTTTAACCTTAAAAAGAGAACAAAAATTTTTACCACAATTCCTTAGGCACATCTTGAAGCAGGAGACACCTGCCCTATAGACAGACATCCCTGCAGCCCCCACTGGGATGGAGGAAGCACCTGTACTTACTGGTACTCAGCCACGCAGTCCAGTAGCCCTACGTACTTCAAGGCCTCATGTTGGACAGCACTCTCCAGAGCTTGCACACCACTGATTTCTTTCAGAATATGCTGGATGCTTTTGATGTAGCCACACTGGGGGTGCTCTTCTCCCCCTTTTAAGGTCTCCTGGGGTGAAAGTATGCTTTCCAAGGCTTCATGGAACTGTTTGCCTTGTAAAAACACATCTAAAAGAAAAATGGAGGAAAAATAAAAACGGAACCAACCAAAACCAAACCAAAGCAGGACTTAAAACTAAGTCCTTAAAACTTACTACATATTATATATAATTTAAATTATATAAAAATTATCTTAAAATGGAAACCCTTAAGACAAAAGTTTTATCCTTTTTTTGTATTTGTAAGCAGGGTTTTGTTTGTATTATAGGCTGGCTTTGAAATGAGATCCTCTTATTTACGATTCATGTGCTGGTATGTACAACTATGCCCAGCAATATTCAGTTTCCTGTGAAACCCAATAATGCAATTTTTTTTTTTGAGACAGCTCTCATTATGTAGTTCTGGCTGTCCTAGTACTATGTAGACCAGGGTTTTTGAACTCACAACTCTGCTTCCTGAGTGCTGGGATTGATTAAAGGCATAAGTGACCAAACCCTGGCTTATCTTTAAATTTTTTTTTTTTTTTGGTTTTTTCGAGACAAGGTTTCTCTGTATAGCCCTGGCTGTCCTGGAACTCACTTGGTAGACCAGGCTGGCCTCGAACTCAGAAATCCACCTGCCTCTGCCTCCCAAGTGCTGGGATTAAAGGTGTGCGCCACCACCGCCTGGCTTAAAAAAAATTTTCTTTTGAAAGAGTTTAGAAGAAAAAGTATAGGACAAGAAATTTTTTTTTAAATGTGTAAGAGTATTTTGTTTAAATATATATCTGTGTATCACATGTGTATGCCTGTTGCCCAAATAGACCAGAAAAGGATATCAGAACTCCTGGGACTGGAGTTAAAGGTGTTTGTGAGCCACATGGGTGCTGGGAACCCAACCTGGGTCCTCTGGAAGAGCAACAAATGCTCTAAACACTGAGCATCTCTCCAGCACCCAAGCTGTAAATCTTGGCAGCTGTCCAGAGGAGGGAGATGAAGAAGAGACATTCCTTTCTCAGACAGTCATGGATGTTGGGCAAGCAGACATGTGGAAAGAGTGAAAAAGCCAAAAGTACCAGAAAAAAGCTTACATAGGCTATGGTCAGAGTCCAAAACTGACAACAACAACAAGAAGAAGGAAATTTATGCCTTTAGTCAGGTCTTGGAAAGGTGTCAGATCTAACAGAGAAGGAAAAGTACATTATTTCATTAAGGGAATAATTATTTCTTTCATCTCTTAGTGTAGTTAGGTGAATATACCTTCCTGGAGAGTGGTGTCTTAGGCAGGTTGACTGACTAGTTCAGCTGGATCAACTTTAGTGTTTTTGGGTAGGTTGTAATATTAGGTCTCCACCCAAGCTGGGGTTTGGGGGTACAGGGGGAGAAATTTAACCCTGCTGGAATAAAATGTAAAGAGATGTGTGTTAGCCTACAGGCTACTTAATGAATCAGAAGACAAACTTGTTAAAAATAGGAGAGGAGAGCTCAGTAGCAGAGTACTTGCCTAGCATACATAAGGCTGAGTTTAACCACTAACACTTTCAAATAATAAAAAATTACTTCACCCACTGCCATGCAATTAAATTCCCAGCTACAGACCTATCCTGGCTAGACTCTTCACATGCATATAACTATGACCATCTAGATTTGAGGACCCCGTGTATTTGGGAGCAGAGGCAGGCAGATGTCTGTGTTAGAGGCCATCCTAGTTTACAGAGTACTAGGACAGCCAGGGCAACAAAGAGAAACCCTGTCTCAACGAAACAAACAAAAAAACCCAAAAAGGAAAGCAGAGATTAGTTTAGTGGCTGTCACTACCCATCTTACAAAGGCGCCCTGGAATGTAACCCTTGCCCCTTGCATCTGAAGGATGATGTAAAGCGGTGCTTCTCCACCTTCCTAACGGTGCAGCCCCTTAATACAACTTAATACACCTTATGTTGTAGTGACTCCAACCACAAAATTCTTTTCATTACTACTTCATAACTGTAACTTTGCTGTTATGAATCGTAATGTAAATATCGGTGTTCTCCAATGGTCTTAGGAGACCCTATAAAAGGGTTGTTGGACCCTTAAATGGGTTGTGACCCACAGGCTGAAAACCGCTGGTATAAAACAAAGCCTGAGTCACTTTTGCCATATTCAAGGTGCACCTACATAATTAAATGCTTATACTATTTTGGTGGTTTTTTCCCTAAGATACCTGGAAAGAAGGACAATAATTTTAAAGTAAACATGCTCATATGCCACTGGAGGTACATATAATATTCTTGGGGAAACAAAGGCTAAGGAATATCTATATAAGTTCCAGTTTTAACCAAAGACACTTATATAATCCTTATGAGACCAGCGCATTCTCTCACGCCAACGGTTTGCTTCCCCCTCCCCCTCCAGGAGGGTCTTCTTATGTAGCTCTGACTGGCCTGAACATGTGATCTTACCTGAGCCTCCTGAGTGCTGGGACTATAGGCATGCACCACCGTGTCTATTATTTTTTTAAATCTACCCCTTTTTGTTTGATTTATCCCGAGACAGGGTCTCACTATGTAACTCTGGCTGTCCTGGAACTTTCTATGTAGACCAGGCTGACTCAACAGAGATCTATCTGCTTGAGTGCTGGAACTGAGGGTGTGTGCCACTAAATCTGGCTTAAAAGAACCTGCTTTAAGGAAGCTATCCTCTTCACTTGTCTAATAAATAAGTCAGGAGTTGAAGGCTGCCAATACGATCAAAACATATTGTACCAGATTCTCTTAAGAACTGGTAAAATTTTTAAAAAATAAGAGGGTTGAAGGCTAAAGGTTATTTTACCAGTTTCTAGTCAAGAACATTTGATCAGTTCAATTTACCAAACTATAAGCGGGGATCGTGTGTCCTGGACTGTGGCTAGTCAATTGATACTGATTAGTAGAACAATGGGTAATCATTAAATTCTGAGAAAAAAAAACCTATTTAAAAACTAGACTTTTGTCAAGAGATGGAAAGGAATTAATAGGTTGTTTATAAATTATGCAAGTTTGTCAAATAATTTGATCTCTGTATTTCTATTTCTACAGTTAATAGTATCTATGAGGAAGATTAAACCAGTTAGCAGACATGAAATGCTATTTAATGCTATTTGAAAGTACTTCCTCAGTAAGACTTTTTTTTTAAGCCCCATTCTTTTGACAGGAATGCTCTATCTCCTAAAAATCAGTGACCACACATAACCAGAAGAGAATTACTTGAAGTATATTCTGCAAATCCATCTTCTCCCAGCTCCAGAACCATCCGCTGTTTCCATCTTTCCAAAAAGAAACTCTGTTCAGGTGGCATGGTCTGCTGAAGGATTCGGGTTACACTGGGTATCACGTTTCTTTGCAAAGGGATCTTCAAAGGATTTGAAGAACTGTCTGTGTGTGGTTTCATGGTTCTCTCTTCATTGAAGATAGGAAACCAGTGTTGTGGAACTCTTGCCTGTGGCTCTTGCTCTGGAACCTTACACTTACTCACAGGACCATAGAGTACATCATCTTCTTTGAACAATGAATCTGGAGTCTGGACCGGGCCTCTGGACAAGACAGAGCGTACTAAACGAGAGTACTTCGCTTGGTCTACTGTTTCGTACGAGTTTTTTTTCTTCTGGCTACACAAATAAGAGGAAGTGGAGAAACTCACAGGAGGGCTTGGTTTTACAGAAAATCTGTTTAAACGTCTAAGCAGCCAGCAGATGGTCAGAAGTGGTTTCATTTTTTTAGACTTTGTCCCTCTTTTCTCTAGTCTGTAAAGTTTAAAAGTGTGCTCTGTTCTTATCTAAAGAAAAAAAAAGTTTAGGTTTAAGAGGTTTTACATATTAAAACCATCAAATTGAAAATCACACAAGAACAAACATTAAAAGTGCATACACACGCCGGTCGGTGGTGGCGCACACCTTTAATCCCAGCACTTGGGAGGCAGAGGCAGGTGGATTTCTGAGTTCGAGGCCAGCCTGGTCTACAGAATAAGTTCCAGGACAGCCAAGGCTACACAGAGAAACCCTGTCTCGAAAAGTGCATACACTACACACTTAACGTTTCAAAAAATACTATTCCCAAGAAAAGTTCATCAAAATCGTAGGCAGCAGCATTTGTTAAATGTTACTGTGTTACCCGTTTTGGACGTGATACCATAACTCTGAATAAACGTGACAAGGCCTGGAGGCATTGACCAGGAAACTTAGTTCTTGGAAGGCCGAGGCCGTATTTTTTCGAATCTTAAGGTTAGCTTGGTTTGTCTCTAGAAACAAAACAACTGCAACCCCACTCCCATCCCCAAACCAAATTCACAAGCCTTAACAATTAAACATCTACATCTATATACCAAACTCTTTACTAAATATTCTGTATGAGCATCTCTCATCTCTTCCTCACATCCTTTAAAGTGGGTGCTACTGTGATCCCGCGGTCCAGACTCGGGACTTGTCGTAGGTGGGTCTGCACAGCCCACCAGCGTTAATTCCGGAAAGGGATCTTTGCAGGTGTCTCCCATGGTTGGGACAGGACAACCGTGGCCCTTCGTGCCTGAGTTTGGACAGGGAAGAGACTATTTAAATAGACATTCGGCCTGCTGCAGGGTTTTATCAGTACCTGAGATGGCACCACGCTTTTACACCCAGACTGCAAACAACCTCTCGGGACCCGTACTTTTATCAGTCCCGCGCTTTCCCAAAGCGAGGCGGCCCCAGCATGCACTGCGCTGTTCCCCCGAAGCAGAAGCGTGGGCACCGTCAAGCCGCGCATCTGCGCTCTCACGAGATCTTGCGTACGTCACCGCCGGTCGCCATCTTGGACTCTGGCTGAGCAATAAATTCCCCCTGCCGCTGTGCGCGCTCTTTCTCGAGGCGTACCTCACTGGGAGAGGGTTCGGACCCTGAGTCCCCGTCCCGGCCCTACGGTGCTGGTGTCCGCGTGGCGCAGAGCGAGGGTAGGCCCCGCGTTGCTTCTTTGCCCGGCTCCAAGATGGACGGCAGCGGGGACGGGGGAGGCCGCTCAGGGGGAGCACGTGGCGTGCCGCTGGCCTGCGCCCGGGGCTGCTGGGATGGTGGCGGAGTTCAGCGGCCTCCAGCCGTCGTCCGGCAGGGAGGCCGGCGGAGGCGGGGCCGCGGCCGCCCCTGAAAGGCGCCCCGGCGGCGGCCCAGCCTCTTCTTTCCTCGCACAGCCAGACGGCCCCTGCTCGAGGCCCGCGTCGCCATGGCCGCGGTTCCCGAGTTGCTGGAGCAGCAGGAGGAGGACCGCAGCAAGGTGAGATTCCTCCCTCGCTAACTAAGCTGGAGGTCCTGCCGGCCTCCCTGGGCTGGGTCTACGTTTTCTGGGGTTCGGGCTGTTGGCCGTCCACAGCAAGGGAAGGATTTGCAAGACCCGGAGGTTTTCCCCCACCCACACCTTTACAGATGCTATCCAGCGGGGGTCTCAGTTCACCCTCATTCTCAGGAGAATCATACAAGCGGGACCCCACTTTTTGAGCTCTTGGTGCGAAGCGGACAGAGGTTCTGCCATTCGACCGAGGCTAATGCTCTGAAACCCTTAGGAGCGTGTTTTTTAAAGGCTCATAAAACTTACATCGACTTCTTGGTATTGGAAAGTGGATCGGAGTTTTGTTTGCGGTTCCTATCTCTTTTTAAGAAAATGGCCTTTTCGTTTAAAATAGTGGGGAAATTTCAGTCGAGAATCTGTAGCATGTTTTTTTGCAACTTAGAAAAGCTAAATGTGTCCTCGTGGGAGTTGTAATTTTTAGTAAATCCTGTGTTGATGTAACCCTTGGGCTGCAAATATCTGGAGGACTAGTTCAGCAGATAGAGATTGCTATATGTAGGCAATTAAGGATTCTACTTTTATTGGCCCTCTAAATTTGAATTTTTCCATCGCACAAGTCAGTTTTGTGGACAAAATCTTCAGTAATACGGGAACTCTTAGGTTAAAGTATCTTTGAATGGACAAACTTATCTAGTAAGTAAATACCGGTCTGGAGCACCAGTTGGATTATTCCAACAAGGGTATTTGAAATAGAGCTTTGTGCGAGGTGTTTTATTTCTCTTACACTATAAGAATTAGTTTTCTCTCTGGCATGGTACTGCGGGCAGGAGAGGCCCTGATGGTTGGTTTTTCCTCCTTTTTTGTTACTCGTGTTGGAGCAGAATCAGCTATGTAAAATGACTTGGTCATCCTGTTAACTGATAAAATTAGTTAGTTCACCATCACTCTGATCAGCAAAATTGGAGATGATTACAGTGTAGAGAATTATAACTTTAAAGAAATATTGAGATAAATTACTGGTTTTAGCACATGGTTTCAATTTTGTTTTCTGGTCTGTACTAGACTGGCAGATCACATCTAGATGGCAGAAGTTTGAAGGAAATTTGGCAAGTGTCAAAAGGGAACTGGAGTCCATCTTGGGCAAATTTGTTAACTAATATTTTGCAATTATATTTAAATGCTCAGATTATTTAGCTTGGAATTTCTATGAAGATGGGGTTCTTGAAGTTGCTCTAGTGACTATTAGAATCAAGTCCCTGAAGTTAATGATTCTTCAGACTTGGGGTGGTGGTGAGAAAGAAACTCTGGGACTCCTCTAGCCCTGAGCTAGAGAGTTTGAATGCTAGGAAAGTGCTTTGGCAAGGTAGGGAGGCCTGAGAGGAGCAGAGAATGAGCTTGACATCTAGACATTTACTGTAAAGTCTTTTACCCCAAAGTGTTCTCTCCTTAAGCTGACTTTAGAGGTAGAATTGCATGGCATGTGTCGTTTACATAGAAAGCCTGTGCCCTGTCAGATCTTTAATTTGGTTCTTAGTTTCCCTTTAGTGTAGTATATAGTAGAGATTTGCCAAGTCTAGCTGGGGTATGTGTGTAGTAGGGTCTTCCTGCATACACTAGGCTGAGCATTATCTGACATTGTCTTGGGGGTTTTTGAGATTGGTCTGAGTCTAATTTAGGGTAAATCGAGTATAACAGCATTGGTTTGTGTTGGTGTTCTGATTGTCCCTGGATTTTCTTTTTGTAGTTTGAAAAGCTTGACATTTTTTGACTAGGAATCAAGTGGTGTTAACTGCTTTAATCCTAGCATCTGGAAGGCAGATAGCGGTGCATTTCTGGAGACCTGCATGGTAGTATGTTCCCAGGACAGCCAGTGAGAGACTGTCTCAAAAAGAAAACTCTGAACTCTTTGTATTCTACAGCCATTTTTTTTTTTTTTAAACTGGGGATTCTTCTTTTCTTGTTAGAAGGCTAGGGATGTAGGAGTGGTAGCTTCTTTGTCTAAGGTGAGCCAGACTCTGAATTTCAGTCCTCAGTAATTTGACTTTAACTTTCACTAGGTGGTTACATGGACTTAATGCAGGATATTTATTCAGACATTTATAAATGTAACTGTTGCTGCTGTTTCTCTATAGATACTTCCATTAAGAGTATAGACAACAGTCTTGAACTTTGATCAGTACTTAGCAAGTCTAAATTTATCTTTTTTGTGTGCAGTGAAGTTTTGCACTGTAGTCATATGACTCAGGAAGTGTGGCTTCTCAAAGCTGCCCACGCCTTAGTTCTGGATCAGCAACTTGCACATGGTGTCTTAGTGTCCCATTTGTGAATACTTTAGCAGGTTATGATGTATGCAGTTTTTGGCTGCAGAAAGTAGCCTGCCCACTTAAGAGGATTTTCTGGGTTTAGTTTACTATGATCTAAGTGTTTATTTGGTGAGATTTGGTAAGTTACAAAGTCAGGCTTTCTGACAAACCTGAGCGCTGGTGTTTTGGGAGCCTGTCCCCTTTCCATACCAGACTGCCAACAATTTTACTGGAGGTGACATTAGTAGCCACCTCTCCTATTTGTAAACATTGCTTTGCACTAAACAGATTTATCCTTAGTTGAGACTCATGGGGTTTAACTGGCTTTCTAAAGTGGTATGATGGGTGGGGTGAAGTTTGTTTGCAAGGGTTTAAATTTGTGATTAACAGTTTGTGAAAGGAAGTAACATGCTACATTAAGCTTGGACTGTTGAGCATCTTTGTCTTTATTATCCAGATATTATGAGGAACTTAAAAGATATAAAGGGTATGTTTCAAGTTCTGTGAATTTAATGTAGCTGTTAAAACAGTACAGCTAGCTGTCTTTGGTAGGTTTGGACTTTGGAAACCTGAGGTTCTTTTGTTACAGCACTCACAAAGCATTGTGAGTCAGAATCGCAACTCACCTAGAAATGGATTAATGATTGGATTTAAAGTCTGGTGAATTAAAGTTGGTGAGTGTGGCTGCCTTGCAACCCTAGTATACAAAGGATATACTACTACTCATGGGCTGCCTAGTGGAAGTAGTACAGCCACCCCCCTTTTAAAGTTAAACTGTTTGAACATTGTGTTATCAACCTGTTGCTTGAGCAATTGAGAACAGTTTTGTGTGTAGAAACCTGAATGTCTTCAAATAGTTAAGTGTTTAGTTAGATAGTGTAATTACAATCTTGGGATGATCTCAATTTTTTAAGAAAACAGTTTTCATTCTTTGGGATCAGAAGGGAACTACAGGGCAGTTGTAAGCTTAAGTAATTATCTAAATTGGAAACATTTTCTGTGTGACTTTCCAAAAATGACTTCTTTGTTGCCAACACATTACCCCCTTGGTTTTTGTTTTCATTTTTAAGTTTGTGGTGACACTTGTTGGAGCTTGTCTTCTCCCATGTGGGTCCTGGGGATCTAATCAGGCCAGGCCACAAGTGCCTTCTTGCTGGCCAAACACCTATTTTCTTTAAAAGATTGTGTATGAGTGCTCTATCTGCATGTACACCTGCATGCCAGAAGAGGGCATCAGAACTTATTATAGATGGTTGAACTCAGGACCTCTGGAGGAATCCCCCATCCCCCAACACTTTTTTTTTGGGGGGGTAACCCATTGAAGGCCCTTCTAAAGAGGGGAAATGGAATCTTTTGCAATTAATTTGAAGATAGACCAGATAGCTTAAGATCTCTTGATTACTTAAGGCAGCAATTCAGCATAGTACTTGGGCTTGCAGCCTTGTGAAATGATGATTCTGTTTATCCATTCGCTGAGTACGCTGCACTGCCCTTCTTCCCAGTCTCAGTTCCTGTTCTAGGAGCTTGGGGCTGAGTAGCCTCCGACCCTGCTCTCTGCAGTGTTCTATTGTGGATTGCTTGTGTGTTGGCAGACTACTGCTGGTAAGAATGGGTAGTGTCAGCAGGGATGGCTCCCTCTCTGGGTTCCATCTCACCAAGATGAGTGGTGCAAATCTGATCACTTCTTGCAGCCCTTCTAGTTCCTTGTTCATAAGTTGTTTTTTACATTTATTGTGAGTTTGCACCTCCCACTTGTTGAGGTAAGAGCATAATGGCCTGACTGAGCCATTTAAAGGGTGAGTTGGTATAGTGCTTATGGGTGCCTTAGTTGCTTGTTACGTCCTAGTAACACAGAAGTTGGCCAAGAATACATACAGATGAATTTAAGTTTGGTTATCTTGGGATAGGAGTAAACAGGACTGATAAGTTTGATTTATTTACTACTAACATTTGAATTCTTATATAAAGGGCAGAGGGAAAGTTATAGTAGAATTTCTCATAGGACTATTCCCAAGTATTTGTATTTTATAACTGTCATGTAGGTCTTTCATATCTGAATATCTGTGACAAGGTGCTTTTATTTAGATTTTACTTCTTTACTAATGAGTACTTCCTTTGGAGAAAAAAAATC